TGCATCACCAAGTCCTAAGGGCAGCATCAGGAATACACCGTGAGGTGAGCGGGCAGGTCCGACGACGCTTGGTCCTCTCCTGTTGATGCTGACGCTCTTTCCCAAACACCAAATATCAGGTTCCCACAGCCTATTCCCACCCACCCCGCTTCTCTGCCAAGGCTCTGGCTTGGCTGGGCCTGGCCGGTTGGGTGGCCCAGCGCTGAGCGCCGAGCACGGCCACAGTCTGGCTGCAGGGGTGTGTGCCAGGACTCTGAGGACATAGGCGGCAGGGTGGCAGATGCAGGGACCCATGAGCAGAGGCTCCTTTCAGACATGGGGCTGGTTTTTCTGCCTGGCAGTAAGTGGCAAGGTTCCCAAAGGGAGTCCTTGACCTCTCCTGGGGTGTGGAGGAAGGAACTCCCTGGCAGAGACGAGGGGTGCCATCCAGTGGAGAGGGCGTCCGTCTCTCCTGGAAGCGAACACTTAGGCCCTGACCTGGGATAAATCGGACGACATCCAGAAACCAAGTTCCTGTGGTTCAGGGGAATGGTTTCCTTGGATTCTGGGCATAATATCTGTTCTAATTTATCTTCAGTCTTCAGGTTTTTCAACCCCCTTACTTACACCAGCTCCCCCCACCCCCGGGAACACAGCGGCCCCCGTCGCGAAAACCACAGATACGCATTGAAAAGGTGATCTTCCATTTCCGTGTCTCACGGAACAGGCCCCAGAGCTTGCTTATAGGGTAAAATGTAGGGAATTCCTATGATTTCTTCTTAATTGGAGAAAATCTAACTCAGCCAAAGAAAGGAAAGGAGATTATCTCCAAATCCAGACTTCCTATTTTCTCACCTCGGGGCTGTTTTCACAGAGCCCAGAGACAAACGTTGCCCATCTTCCTCTGCTTTTGGTCCCGGCCCCCACCTTGTGTTGCAGATCATGCGTTTCCAGGTTAGCGCACACCTGCTCAGCACTCGGCTATGCCTGTTACACCGCCAGGTCCAAGGGGCTCTTCCTGGGTCTGTCACCCTCTCTACAGCTCCAAGTAAGGAGCAGAATTGAGCGGGGAGATCCTTTGGATCCCAACAGAAAAACGTGCTTTGTTGGCGTGCACACAGCTCTGCTCCGGCCTCCTGCCCCCACTGCAGGGCTCCGTTTTGCCACAACCTAGGTTTTCCCATTCTAGACCACGGGTGGCAAACTTCCTCTGTAAAGATCCAGCGAGTAAATATGTCAGGCTCTGTGGGCCACGTGGTTCCTGATGCAACTTCTGTGCCCCAAGGCTCCCCCAGACAGCGTGTGAAGGAATTGGTTGGGGGGGGGCGTTCCAAGAGAATTTTACTGATGGACACTGAAGTCTGGACTTCATATAATTTTTACCCATCATGAAATCTTATTCTTCAGTTTTTTTGTTTTCGACCATTAAAAAAAATATATGTAAAAACCGATCTCAGCTCGCAGGCTGTATAAAAACGGGCCTAGGGCCGCGTTGTTCTCAGGGCTGTCATTTGCCAACCCCGGTCCAAGTACGTACACCCAGCAGAGCACTTGGGGAAAACCATGTGTTGGGTGACTTGTTCATGAGAAGCCATTTCAAAGTCCACCTCCCAGGGCCTCCCAACCCCTCTGAGTACCGAGTCCTTTCGGAAGGATGGATCATCAGAGAACTGAGAACGCGGTCAGAGGGCTCACCCCGCACCAGCCCTGCAGCCGGCTCGCTCCGGGCGCGTGCTCACCCTGGGTGCATTGCCACTTTCTTGCCAAATCTTGCAACCGGCTGGTATTCTTCGCAGGTCTGGCCAATGTTTGCCGTGTGGGTGTGATGCCTGCAACCGAGGGACTCCACCAGGACTGGACAGCGCCGCATTGTCCCCCCTCACTACGGCTGCACCGAATGTCCCAGCCCCATGCTTCAGCATGCGGGGGAGCCCCCTACAGCCCGGTCGCACCCTGCCACCGAGGCCCGCGTGGCCGGTGCCCCCAGAGACTTTGTCTTTCACATTGCCGCACAACCTCTTGGAAGAAGGTGAGGATCGCCGAGGGCAGGCATTCTGCCACAGAATAGACATGGCCGGAAGTCTCTGTAACTTCTTTAATTATTCAAACAATAGAGCACAAAGATAACAGTTTCAAGTACATTGTGATACACGCTTTTGACAGGAATAGATATGCATTTAGTCACGAGGGAGGCTGGCGGCAACACTGCGCGGACACTTCGCACAAACTCTTCACACCGTCCACCCTGAAGGTGGAGTGGACACCTCGTCTGCTGGGAGCGGACTGCACATCCTGATGCCCTGGGTTGGGTTGCTCTACGGCGTGGCTCCCTTTTTTTGGCCATGAGAGAGAGGATTCTGAATGTAAAGTTGGGCAACGGGCGGCGGACGTGGAACAGGGAGGGCGGGGGAGCAGGGAGAGGGGGCTGCCACCTCGCCTGACTGGGGGGGGCTGCCGCTCAGGGCCGCGGGGCCCCCACGCTGGGGGTCACCAACGGGTGCTTCCCTTGGGGCCTGGCCAACCCTCCAATGCTGTCTTCGGCCGATCAGGCTGACCGCTAACTAGTCTATCAATCAGCACAGCTAAAGCTATTGGGGTGCCAGGGCTTACACTCAGAACGGAACGGTCAACACAACAGAAACCACCAAATTCCACCAGGGATTGCAAACCTTGCACCTGCTAACTACCTAGAAGACCGAAGAAAAGTCTTTGACAGAGAAAAACCAAGGATCACTCCTGCCTGAAGGGCCTGGCCCCTTGAAAGCAGGCAGAGGGCAAGTTCCAGGGTGCATGCCTGGCCCCCTGGCCCACAGCCTCCTGGAAAAGGCACACCACGCCGGACCCTCCGCACAGAAGCCCCTCAGGGCCCAGTGTTTCTGGCTGAAGACGCCATCACAGGCCTAGCCTTAGGCGCAGCATCTCCAGCTCCCGCCCAGGTGGGACTGAAGCCCGCCTGACGCTGTCAGGCTCCGTTCTGCTCCCCAAACCCAAACCAGCCTTCAGACAGGCTTAAGTTGCTAAGAGGCCCTATGTGCACACAGCCATCCTTCCAAAGCCGAACCTGCTTGGACACTTGGCCCAAAGCACACATCAGGACAGTAGCCTTTGATAAGCCAAAGCACTGAGAGTGACAGCCAAGGGCTGAGCCCCTCTCAGCTGAGTCTATAACACAATGTCAAACATGGAGGACTTCTTCCCCCAGACCCAGCCGACATAGGAGGCCAACCACAGTGTGCCCACTAAAGTAGGACCATGCCCTAGGGATGAAAATCTAAACCAAGTAACCACTCCAGACAGACGGCTTGGACTCGACAACACCAACGTGGCCCGAGGACCCAGGCAGCCCTGAGACTAGCAGCTGTGACTGGGGAGGAGGGAAGGTGAGGCCCCCTGAGAGCAGGTGCAGAATGTGCCCTCGTCAGGGGGTTGCCACGAGGGTCCCGGGGGGTGTTCAGAGAAGATCAACACTTGGCCATCTCCCTGGGGACCCATCTGGAAAGAGTACCCCAGGACTTCACAAAGCAGCTAGGGGCCTCCTCCCTTTGAAGCCAGAGGACCAGGCACTCCAACGTGGGGCAACCAGGTGGAGGATATGAGGTCTGCCAGCAGCTACATGGAGCACGGGGCGAGAGTCCCGGGTGGATGCCCGCAGGCCTCCTCTGCCGGGCCTTCGCACTGGGCTACGCTAATTAAGGGCTGGGGGGTGGGAGAAGAACGGCACCCACACCCGGCACCCTCAGCTGGTGGAGGCACAAAGACTCTCACACAACAAATACAAACAGAGCTGAGGTTTCTCCAGGGATGAAAATAAACAAGTCGGTTTGGTTACCTACTTTGGTTACCTACTTAAGCTGATCTGAATTCACAGTATAAGCAACACATCTAAATATAATGCTGGGCACTCCTGTCAGCGCTAGGGTTCCCAAACAAAGAAGCCGAAACAGAAATGAAAATGGGGCTGCGACGGGGATTCTTAGTTATTATATACTAACCAGTCTGTGCGTGGCACATTTTATTTCTATAAAACTATTACAAAATATTCAAAAATACATTTTAGTAAATTTACAGCAGTTATTTCTCAATTTATTAATGCAAAAACATCCTTTGTTTTTCTCTGTACAAACTACGGGCTCCATTCTCGTGGGCTCATCACTATGTGCGCTTTTAAAAAATATTATTTTCTAATAAATTCTTTGAAGTTAAAAATAACAGAGTTCTTCCAGTTTGTCCAAAAAAAAAGAGTGTGTGTGTGTGTGTGTGTGTGTGTGTAACAGTCTTGACTTCCAAGAATGCGGCCAAAATGGTGATGACGGAGCAAATATTAACCCATGAAGACATACAGGAGGTGGCTGTTACACTGGAGACTAGTTAAATTAAAATAATATATTTTCATATTTTACACTATTTCAAAAATGAAATGTAATTCAGTTAAGTATTGATCTCTCAAAAAATCTAATTTACAATTCTGTGTATAAAAATATAATTTGTGGACCCCCATGAAGCATGTTTTAGTTTACACTTGCCGAAAAGCAGGCGCGTGGCAAACGAGGAATGCGGAGTGCAGAGTTTTGCTTTCTGAAAGTCAGGGTGAGGGATATGTAGAAAAATAGACTCTGAGCAGGTCGCTTGGCCTCACAAAATAATCTTTCCCCCCTGTGAGTACAGTTCACATGATAATAATAAATTATCCAAGAAACAAACTATTTAAGGCTCTTGAAGGTCCGGTTCATATTATTTAAAACATCTATTCATACCAAACAAATAAATAGCCAGGAGAGGTGAAAAAAAATAACCAAAATAAAACAACAACCAAAAAATTCAAAAATATATATATAAACTAAACACAACGACAAAACTTCCCGGGGTCTCTGTTTCCTTATAGTCTACTTTGGACTGTCCTACTTTATTATTATTATTAATTATTATTATAATTAAAGTCTCATTCCGTGCGCTTTTCCGTGTGTCTTTTGCTGTTCTTTGCTGTTGCTCCCTCCCGCCCCCCCCCCCCCACCCCGCGCCCTCCCCGGCTCGCCGGCCTTCAGCTAGACTTGACCGCCATGCCCAGCGGGTGCAGGGCCTCGCTGTCCAACAGCCAGGTGCCTATTTGGTAGAGCAGCTGCGAGTACCAGTGGATGCCCACGGCACCTGGCGCGTCGGCCGCACCTGGCGCATCAGGCGCACCTGGCGCGGGCGGGGGCAGGCGGCCGCCGCCCCCGCCGTCGCCGTCCCCGCCGCGGTCCGTGCGCGCGGGCGCCAGCACGGCCAGGAGCGCGTGCGCCAGGCGGAAGGGCGCGAAGGCCCGATGCGCCCAGCCGTGCTCCTCGATGACCGCGTAGCACGACGCCAGCACCCGGTTGATGAGGATGGTGCCCTGCGCCGTGAGCGGCGCGTAGGCGCCCGTCGCCTCCTCACGCAGCGTCACGCTGTGCACGGCGGCCGGCAAGAGCCGACGATCCCCGCCGCGCTCGGCCACCACGTACACGCGCTGGCCCGGGCGCACGCGGCTGGCGAAGAGCGCCCGGCGCCCTGGCGCGCCCCCCGGTGGCGGCCCCGCGCCCGACGGCGCCTCCGGCTCCCCGGCCGCCGAGTCGTTGTGCGGCGCGACGAACAGCAGGTGCGCGGCGGTGAGCAGCAAGCGCTCGCGCGGCTCCCGCGTCTCGATCACGTAGAAGACTTTCTTGGCACCATCGTCGCGGTCCAGGAAGGTGAGGAAGTCGCTGTAGAGCAGTCGGCCCTGGTCGTCGGCCGCCAGCACGCGGTCCCCGGGACGCAGGTCTTTCACCAGCTTGGTGCCGCCCTGCTCCAGGTGCACGGTGGCCGAGCCCGGGAAGCAGCCGCCGGACTTGGCCGCCACCGAATTCTCTGCGGGGGTTGGAGAAGGGAGAGAAGAGGGGACAGGGTGGTGAGCGCCCACAGGGGGGCACAAGTCGGGCAGGGGGCGCACGCCTGCCGTCCGGCGCACCAGACTCGGGACACGCGCAGCTCCGGGGAGAGAGTCCCGGCTGGCCCAGCGCAGACCTCTCTCCGTCAGCCCCACCGTCTCGGTGACAAAATTCAGATGCAGATACATTCCTTAACGACTCTCTTAGGATTGGACTGGCAGTGACAAAGGTTGGCTGGCGTCTCCGGCGGGAGGCCGGTTACACGCTTTCCCTTCCGCCTTCCTCCCATCCCATCCCCCGGCTCAGCACACACCCAACCTCGCCCTGAATTCGCAGGGTATTTGCTCTGCACTTAGATTCCTCAGGAAGCCTCCTTGAGCTCCCTCGGGCGCCGGGGCGCACCTCCTTTCTTCCCGCCCCCGGCGCGGGGTGCGGCGCCCCCTCGTGCGCCCCGCACCAGGGCTGCGCGGCGGGAACCCCTCGCCTGCCCGCCCCCAGCGCCCAGCCCAGTAGGGGGACCTTGGTGCCAGCCCATTGCAGGGGCTTGGGAGAGGGGCGGGAGTGCAAAATAGCTGTAGTAGTTGTAGCAACTGGACAAACATTCCAGGGAATTGGCCGAGGTGTGAAAATCCGGGGCTTGTGTGGATTTTCTAATTAAAATCCAATAAAGGGCCCAGCACTGTCATTGTGATCTCCGCAATAAATGGGAGACACTCTTGGAAGAGGGGCCACTTCCATTTCCCCCCTCCCCTTTCTCAGCCGCCCCCTCCCTATTTGCTCAGGTGCACCCCCCCCCCAGCCCCCCTGCGATTCACACGCGGGCTCTCCAGAAGCCCGGGCCTCACAAGCACTATTTGCACAGCCAGGCCTCTTCCAAGCACTCAAGATGTGTATTTGAATTTTAAATGGCGGGGCCTGCTCCAAGCACTGGAAGCGGCCGGGTTCTCAAGGCCCCTTGACTACCCGCTTTCCCGAGCCCTCTGTCGATCTCTGAGGCTCACTGTCCCGAGGACAATGATCGGAGCCAGGGTGGCGAGCAGGGGGCCGCGGAGGAGGGGCGGGGAGAGCCCGGTCTTCTTTGCATTCCAATCTCCGGGATCATGCTTTTTGCAAATAGAGATCGCGAGAAAGAATCTTCCTGCTGGAATTACAGAGGGTTTTTAATCTTCTCATCGGTTTCTGCGGCATGAAGTGCGGGCCTGGCCGTTGGAGGCCCGCCGTTGCCCCCCGGAATGCGACCCGGGGCGCAGGCGAGCCCGAGTCGTCGAGTCGCACGACCCTGCTTGACACGCAACGCACCGCGCCCCGGCCCCTGTGCGCCGAATGCCAATGAGCGGCTCTCCGCGCCCTGGGGGTCTGCCCTCCCCGGGCGCAATCCCGGCGCGGGATTACCGCTGCTCACTTGCGAGAAGACCTCTAGGGACCCCCGCCAGGGGGACTCCGGGGACAGGGCTGGCCCAGGAGGGGGCCGAACGCCCCTCGAGCGCAACGGCGAGGTCCCAGGAAGGGTGTGCCCCGGGGCCTTCCGCAGCGGAGCCGCGCGAAGTGGGGGCGCCGCCTGCCCGTCCTCCCTGCCTCCAGCTACAAGCCCAGCGCCCCCCCGCCCCTTCCACACCTTTTCTTTCTGTTGTGATAAGAAGCCATTATTTTCCTTCCCTATGAACTGTGTCTTGACACCTTAAAAGTGTTTTTCTACTAACACATGCTACTAAAATACAGTTTAGGAGACAAATAGGCAAAACTCCGGGGGGGGGGTGCGGGGAAGACACAGTTCCTCCGAAATTCACTGTGAACTGTTCTGCTAAATGCATCAACTTCTGCGGGGAGGTGGAGAGATCCGCATAAATAACCTCGGAGTTGGGCTATCTGCCGCGGGTGCAGCGCCTTCACCGGCATGGCTGTTCCTTGACAGTGACAGCGTGTGGCGTTGTAGGCCCAGGGAAGTCACCAGCCCATGGATGGGCTGCCTGCAGCTGCAGACTCCCATCGGCCTCCTGGCCCTGCCTGTGGCTCAGGGCAGCCCAGCTGGCTCCTAATAAGGACGGATGCTTCTGGGCTTGCGGCCTCCAGATGCTGGAAGCGGTAACCACTGCATTTATTACCTCCCACCAGGCCTCTCCCCAAAGGCTTAGCCACCGAGTTAAGTTAGTTTAGCGTCCACAGACGCTCAGTGGGGAGGAGAGAGGACCAGGAGCTTACACCCTGGGCAGAACCTCCTGTGCTGGGGGGTCGAGTAGGGGCTGGCTGATTCTCAAGCCTGAAATGAGAGGAAGAATCTAGGCCAGACCTGGCTACCAGCGCACCAGGAACGTCCCCTCCCCCATCTTCCCTGTCTCCGCCACCTGCAGTGGGGGCTCCGGAAACAGGGTGGGGGGGGGAGGCTCAGGAAGCCATATGCCCTCTGCATCTGGGCTTGGAGCACCTCGGGGCCTCTGTGGCCTCAAAGGTAGGGCCAATTCCTGGCGGGCGGGACCCACCTCTACAGGCTGTGTTCCCACACCAGAGACAGGAGTTATCACCCAATTCGCTCCCTCCCTGCCCCTCCTGCCCCTCCTGCCTCCCCCCACCCCGCACACATTTGTCTCTTTCCCTTGAATCCCACTGTGGGGCGCCATGGTGACATCTCATGGGCAGATCTGGAGCTGCTAGGTGAGTCGGCGGCGGGTGGGGGGGGCTTCATGGGCACGGGGGTTATGGAGAAGGCTGGGCCTGCCGCCTCACCTGCTTTCACGGAGCAGTGGATGTGTGCTTTGGACTCGTAGTACACCCAGTCGAAGCCAGCCTCCACGGCCAGGCGTGCCAGCATGCCATACTTGCTCCGGTCGCGGTCTGACGTGGTGATGTCCACCGCACGGCCCTCGTAGTGCAGCGACTCCTCTGAGTGGTGGCCATCTTCGTCCCAGCCCTCGGTCACCCGCAGCTTCACACCGGGCCACTGGTTCATCACCGAGATGGCCAAGGCATTCAGCTTGTCCTTACACCTCTGCGGAAAGAAGGACCCCCCCCCCCGCAGATGTTAGTACTGGGCCTGCCACCCATCCCTGCCCTTGCCTCGGCTGCCCGGCCCAGTCCCTGAGGAGAAGCGCTCTGTGGACAAGCAGGGGGACAAGGCCTGGAGGTGCACTGAGGTGTGAGGGGGGTGTGGCGTCTGCTGGAGGAGCCAGTCGTCTTGCAGATGAGCTGAGGGCCTTTCTCCAAAATCTGACCTAGCAGAGCCCCTACCATGGCCCGAGACGAAGATGACATCTTTTGAGACACGTGAACTTGTGTGTCTCAGACAGTAACCGCAGGGCCTGCCAGGGCCGCCCGGGGGAATGGCTTACTCCTCCCTAGGATGCCCTCCACTCCCCCCATCCCTTTCCGTGGCCCCATTTCTCCACACCTATGCAAGGCTCCACCCTTGTGCCTGGCCTAACTCCCTCACCAGGAGGCCGGAGAGAGGCCCAGGGTGCAACTTTGCAGAAATAAAGAACACAGGCGGTATGCTTCTTAAAGAGTGAAAAGCCTTGGGTTATCTCTGGACCTTCCCTCCTACCCTGGGCCTATCTGGGCCCTGGATCCAGCCAAAGGGCGAGAGGGAGGTGGGAAGCTGATAGCCACGCGGAAGGGGCTGGAGGGGGCCTGAGGGAAAGGCAAGCAGGTGAGTTATAATTTTCAATGCGGGCCAGGCCTGACGACAAACATTCTTTATCTGGACAGCCACATTCCTTTTCTCCATAGACCTCTTTTCTCCGGCTTTTCTGTGGTCTGATTGTGTCTCTTGTTTTCCTTAACCTGTTCCCTTCCCCCCTCTTGTTTTCTTGGCCCCAGAGCAGAATGGCGTCCTGCAAGTTTGAAGAGCAAACTTAAGAGGTGGAGGGAGGGGGCGGGGCGTGAGGGGTGGGGGATGGGGAGCCAGAGAGGCCCGAGGCCTCGGAGCCCTTCAGGAGTACCCCCTACCCCCGCCACGGGGAAGCTGCCTGTGCCCTGGGAGTGAAGAAACACTGAATGGGCAGGACACAGACCAGGGCGAAGTGGAACTCGGGGTTGGGGGAGCCCCTCATAATTCTCAGGTCACATTCAGAGAAGGATGCAAGAAAATACTGCGCCATGGCAAGTGTGTGTGCGTGTACTACCTCACTACCCGGGCCTTTACACTGATGGTGGGGTGCGGGATTCAAATGAGGGGAAATGGTGACAGGATCACCAAGGGGCATCCCCAGGAGAGACAGACCCCGGGGATGAGGGGCAATTTCAAGTTGACCTCCCGCAGAAGGTAGGGCTGATCTCCGTCAGGCCGCGCATGCTCGGCTTTGGAACCTGGTAAGCGGGGTGGACGGAAGACCCGGTCGAGGATCCTAATAGCAGCTTGGGGACTGTTTTCCTAGCGAGCCGGCGGGGAGCTCTTGCAAGTACTGCTGTCCGCGCTTTGGCTTTGCGGGGATGTGAGGATTGCGCAACAGGAAAAGTCCTGTGTGTTGGACAGCAATAAAAACCAGTAATATGGTTGTAGAGTTAAACGTACAAGAAATGGGGGGGGTAGGGGACTTGGGGGCGGCCCTGCTAATCGGTCAGCGCTGACAAGGTTTCTGGGCCTGTCAGCAATTTTCTTCAATAATAATAATAATAATAATAATAATAATAATAATAATAATAATAAAAGTCGGAAGGGCAGAGTTTGAGTGAGGTCATCTTGAGGATTGAACGCGTTTTACATGAAAATCAATCAGTAAACCAGGGTCAGTTTAGAGCCGGGCTGGGAGGCCGGCTGCGCAGGCGCACACCGCCGACACGCACACGCACACAGCCCGCATCCCGAGCCCCGCGCCACCTCGGCTCCCTTCTTTTGGGGGTCACACGAAGCTTTCACATTGTCCCACGGGGCTGCTGGTGAGCGGAGGGCGGGATGGAGAGGCCATGTACCGGCCCCGGGCGCCCGGAGCTGCGCCACTTGGGCACGAGGTGGAGGGCCCCAGGCGGGGAGCCCCAGGCCAAGCCAGGCCCGAGCGGCGCCCCGCTCCCCACGCGCCCTCCCCAGGCTCCCCCAGGCGTGGCGCGGCCTGGGCCCGCGCCTGCAGGACGCTGTGCGCCCGGCGGGCGGGAGAGGCGCAGGCAAAGCTGGGAAGCCCAGGCCGGTTAGCAATTCACTGGGTCGTGTGCCGCGAATCAAGCCCGGCTCGGTGCAGCCACCGTAAAGCCCCGCGGGGCCGCCGGGCCGGGCTTTGTGTCGGCGGAGACCAAGGTGCTCCCCACGCCTGAGCCCCCGCCTCCTCCGCAGTCTTCGCAGCCGCCCCGTGCCCAGAAGCCCGAGCAGGACCGTCACCGCCAACGGCCGCCTGGCTTTCCCGGTGCGGGGGAGGGGTGTCCCAACTTCAAAAGAGACCCCCCCCCAGTCCCCACACACCTGCCTCCACCCCCCTCCCCCCACTCCGGGAAAACAGACCCCTCCTAGCCAAACAGGAACACCCTCCTCAGACCCACACCTGAGCGCCGGGGCCGGGCCGCCACGCACACAGAAATCTACGCGGCGTGGCGTCCCGGGCTGTCGCCCCTGCGGCCCTCAGGCCCTGCCCCTGCGGCCGCCTCCTGCCCCCGGAGCCCCCCGGCCGCCGCACCCGCGCCTGGCACCCGCGCCTGCGGGCCGAGCGCGTCTGTCTGCGCTTCCCCCTCTCCGAGTTAATATTAACCAGGAGCTCCTGCGTTCCAGAACTGCTCCGAAAGTTCCACCGGGGACGGTCTTGCCATGGTTGAGGGACTTGGGCGGCAGTCACATTAGAGGGACAGGGACATGCAGAGACGCGGAGGGACGGCCGGCCCGGGAGGAGGGCGCGCGCGCCTGAGAACAGAGTCTAGGTGGTGGTTTTAAACGGGGCCGGCGGGGGAACGGGTCCCCGAGGAGAGCTAAGCTCCTGTGGCCCGGGAGGCGTCCTCCGCTTCACCCCTTCACCCCAGGCCCCTCACCAGCGGTCCCGCGCCCGCGCCCCTACTCTTCCAGGCCGGGGAGAAGGACGGGCCGGAGAGGATAACCCGCAGGGCGCCCCACCAGCCAGCGCGTTTTCAGGGGACATTTGCGGGGCGCGTGATTCAGTCCTGGCCTGGCTCTGCCCACCCCACCCCCACGGTGGCTGCCCCTCCCCCGTCCTTTTGTGCTGGGAACGGGAAGGGCCGCTGCCTAAGGAAAAAAAAAGTATTTGTTTTCGTTTCGTTCGTCTGAGGGAAGTTGACAGAAGGTCAGAAGTTCAAATGCTGCCAGCGCGCGCGGCGGCGAGAGTGGCCGGCGCAGGGCGGCTCGGCCGTGGGTCCCCGGCGGGCGGGCGGGCGGCCGGAAGAGGGACCCGGGCCGGGCGTCGGCGCGGGCGCCGGGCCCAAGGGCCCGGGAAGGCGGCGGAGCCCGCGCCGCGCCCCCGCCGACCCCGACCGCCCCGGCCGTCGGAGCCGCGGCCGCGGGGACCGCTAACCCCGGAGGAAGGGGCGCCGAGGGGGCGGCCGCCGGGGTGCGCGGTTCTGCAACCTGCAGCGGGCCCCGGGGGCCCCTCTCCCGCGTCGGCCCCGCGCGGCAGCCCCGCTCGCACCCCGACCCCGCGGGCTCCGGGACCTCCGCCGTCCCCCTCCCGCCCCGCCGCCTTCCCTGGCCTCGCCTCCCTCTTCCCCGGTTCCGAGGGGCTCCGGGAGGGCCGCCTCCCTCCCGCGGGGAGCGAGGTGACCCAGGTCGGAGAAGTCCCCGCAGCCGGCCGCGCCCCCCGCGCCCCGCGGCCTGCGCGGGGTTCATTGTGGCTCGCACCGCTCTGGGGCTCAGGCGCGCGCGTCCACGCTCGCGGTCCAGATTTAAGGTGGTCGCGAGCAGATGCGAGCGCGGGGCGGGGTTAGGATAAGGACCCTCTCCTTGGCTCCCTCCGGCCCCTTCCGTCAGCTCCGGCTGCCCCTCTCCTTCCTCCCTCCGGCCTTGTGGCCCCGAATCGGGCTGGGAAGCGAGCGGCCCGGAGGGGGCTCTGCTCCCCGCCCACCCTCCCCTGTACTTGCGCCCCACCGCCGCTGCTCCGTCAGCTGTGGTGCGCTCCTAGCCCGAAAGGTAGGACTTGGATATTTTAATAGGGCAATAAAAAGGATGTTGACCTATATTTGCCAGGAAGTCCATTTCTAGCTCAGTTATACGTGCCTGGAGTTTCAGAAAGTCTACCGTTGGCGGGGAGACTGGCAGCCAGAACTCTCAGGCAGAGGTGGGGAGGGAGGGGGGTGCGTGTTTGGCTTTGGCTTTCCGTTCTAGCCCCCTCCCGCTAATACCTAGTCGCTCCTCATTCCTGTGCCTGCAGGTTGACCGGAGTGATGCAATGCCAGGAAGTTCTAAGTCCCTCCCCTCAAGGACCGCGGGCTCGGGAGAATGGCAACGCATCCTTAAAGAAATATCAATACATTCACACTCTGATGGGCACCACTGCCCGGGGTGCAATGGAGCTGTGCGAGACACTCAGGGACCAGGCGGCGCCTCGGGAGCCCCTGCCTTTTGTCAGCACTGCCTCCTGGCTTTTCCCACTGAGCGTCTTTGGTGGGGGGCAGCGGGGTGGGGGTGATCGTGGGAAAGAAAAGCACAGCGGAGAAGGGGAACGTGTACGCTCCCCTGTCTCATGCCCAAGGCTTGCATATGTACAGTGACCTGGAAGCCACTTTATGTTTATGGGGGGATTCCTGCCCCCCTTCCACCATTTCCATTCCCAACTTGGGAGGGGCAGATGCCCCCAGAGTGAAGGTCTCCCCAAGTTGCAAGCCAGAGCTGGGGCAGGATGGGAAGGCCATCCCAGCAGGACAGAGCAAATCAGGGCCATGGGTGGACCACACCTGCCATCCTGACCCCCCACCCCCCACCCGAAACTTCTCCGGCTGGACCCCTCACCTCCAGTCCCCTCCGAGAAGAGGAAGGGATGGTAGGTAGGCAGGTGGGTGGGTGGGGAGGGAGAGGGTGAAGTCGCCTTGCTATCTGCCTGAAGAGCAAACAGACTCAGTCTGGAGTGGCTGGTTACACACAGCCCCCGTGAAAGCAGCACATTCCACGCCGCGGCGCTGGGTTTCTACCTGAGTCATCAGCCGGTCTGCTCCCGTGTTTTCTTCATCCTTAAATATGATGTCGGGGTTGTAATTGGGGGTGAGTTCCTTAAATCGCTCGGAGTTTCTCGAGATCTTCCCTTCATATCTTCCACTGGCCCCTAGGGTCTTCTCAGCCACGTTGGGGATAAACTGCTTGTAGGCTAAAGGGGTCAGCTTTTTGGGGTGCCGCCTCTTCCCAAATCCCCTGCCGGGTCCGCACGCCAGCCCCGAGCACATCAGCAGTGCAGAGACGAGCACCACCAACATACGTCTCGCCAGCGGCCGCATCTCGTCCGCGGAGCCCAGTGCCTTCCACGCTGTCCCCGTGCGGGTCTGTGTACGCGAGTGCGAGTGTGTGTGCCTTTGCGCTCGGGCTTGCGCTCTCCCTTCCTCGCTCGGCTTGCTGCTGGCTCCCTCGCTCTCTGCCTGGCTCTTTCTCTTCCTATATAACCTCGCCCGCCGCTGCAGCGGGAGACTGGCCCCCGATCCCCACCCAGACGGGGGCTGGAACGGCAGGCTGCTGGTCGCTGATAACGGAACACATCGGAGTTGGGGCTGGAGACAGCAATCAAAAGACAAAAAGAGTCTGATTTTAAATGGTAGCAAGCCTGAAGAGCTTGCGAGGCAGGCTGCCCTCGGTGCTATATTATAGCTGGCAGGGGCGTATCTGATTGGCCAAAGCAGCGCAAGCTTGTCTTCTGATGTTTAACCCTAAAAAAGACTAAATTTTTTTTTCTGTTGCTGCAGTTGCTTTATTTTCACCTGAAGCCTTTGAGTTAAAAAAAAAAAAAATCTTTCCTGAGACAAAGGTGGGCGGGAGGGAGGAGGCACGCTCCTTAGGATAACACCAGTTACCCCCTGCTTTGTGCAGAGCGTGGTGTTCCCCCTTCCCTTTCTCCAGAATGGTAGGTGCTTCAGTTAAAACCAACTTAAGTTTTAAAGGACAGTCTAGACCCCCCCCCCCAAGCTTCGGTCATCAAACAAATATTCTCTCAAATGTTGGAGGGGCAAAGCTGCCCTGGTCCTATTTAAATGTTTTGTTTTTTTTTTTCCAGAGACTTTATCATGCAGGCCAGGTCTCCCTGCATTTTAAAGACGGAGAGTCTGTGCCTCCTCCTGAATATTCAACATCCTTGGATGTTGGTAATTCTCACTGACCACAACTTAAAGCATTGCTATTTGAAGTGCTTCAAGCACCTTAGAAAAATATGAAAATGCTGCTCCTTTATTGTGTTTCAGCTAATGCATTATTTTTAACCCTCTGGAAATGGGATGCAGGCATGCTCAGGAGCTGGTACAGAGTGGCCTGCAGGACTGTCGGGCTGGCTGGGCCAAGCGTGTCTGGGTGCTGCACCCCAGCTCAGAGAAGGGAACCGGTGCCGGGGCCTGCGTGGTGGGCGGAGGCCCATTGTGCCTGGGGGCAGTGGTGAGTGGGCAAGGCTGTGCACACACCACCCCCACTGATCAATCGATCGGAGCAAAGTGCAGGCCAGGGATGAGCTGAATGTGGAATTCAGGCTCCTTCCACATCGGGCCTGGCTGGCTTTCCAGGGGGCTCTGCAAGCCAGCCCTCAGGGTCCCAGGGGTCGCAGCCCAGGATGGGGCAGCGTCCTGGGGGAGCCTTGTTTTGGTCACGGAGGGCACAGTGCTCAGAGCCGGCAATACTGGAGTCCCCAATCCCTGCACTTCTTTCAGGAAAAAAGAAAACCCGAAGTCCTATTTAAGCCGGAAAAATAAAACCTGAAATCCCCCATTTTGCAGAACACACCTCCCCCCCTCAGTCCCACCCCCATCTCACTCATATATAAGAATCACTCTAGAAAAAAGCAAGGGAGGGAGGGCTCTTGGTGGAGGATGGAAGTGCCGGCCCTGGAGTGTCCTCTGTGAAGTTGAAGGTCTCCCTGGACCCCAGCCCAGCCAGGGAGGTGGGAGAGGCCAGGGCCAAGGCTTGGCCCTCAAAACAATGGGATGTCCCCAGCAATCCAGGCAGGCCTCTGTGCAGATGACTTTGGTGGGGGGGCGCTGAGGGAGGGGAGCATCTTGAGAGCCACCTAGCTGGGCCCTGAAGAGGCTGAGCGATATCAGGGCTCGGCCCGTCGGGTCCCCAGAGGTTGATCCAAGCTCTGCCCCTGCCCCCCCATCCTATGGTTTGTGAAGAATCAATAGTCTCAGGGGGACGCCCCCCTCTGGGCAAGGTGGGAAAGCAGCACCCAATTCTGTCAAGGCCTGCTGGGGCAGGACGGTCTCCATTCGGCTGATGAAGGGCCAGACCCCTTGCCCAGGCCGTGAGTGTCTGTGTGTCTGTGCTCCCGGGGAAGACAGACACGGAGGGGATACCCGTGTTGTGCCAGCGCTTGCCCGGTGCGGGCCTTGAGAAGCCACGGGGCCCTGGGGACACTCCAGCCTTCCCGGCTCCCTCCCCCTTCCTTTTCCCTCCGGGGTGTCTCCCTTGCAGCCCGGGCACAGGAGAAAGGGGGCCCCAGCACCGGGTCATGACCCCATGCCCAAGGCCCAGGATGCTGCGTGGAGCACTGGGACCGCTTGATGGAGCGCGCCCAGGACACGTGACTCCCGAAGGTGCAGGGATCCCGGCCCCCCCCCCCCCGCACACTGCTTGCACCTCGGAGGCCGAAGCCTGAGCGGCAGAGAGTGGCAGCCTGGGGGGAGCCAGGCACGAAGGGCTGCCTCTGGGCCGGGATCAGGAAGGGCTCACTCCTTGGCCCTCACTGGGGACGACCAGGGGGTCCCCAGGCCTGCTGGCTTCCTCACCCCCAGGACGCCCCTCCATCTCGCCGCCAGCCCAGGACACTCCAGAGCCTGCCAGGGGCCGCCTGCCCTAGGACGGGCCCGTCCTCCAGAATGAAGTGTGGACCGTGATATAACCCCTGATGCCTTATTTCCCAGCATTTGCTCCCTGTTGTGGGTTGGGGGGAAAATCTGGACAAAACTCAATTGTAGTTTGCATTTATTGCCTAGAAGCAAGGGTGCCGGTGAGCCCCCCACTTCCCCTTCCGTTCATCCCGCCCCCTCCCCACTTCCCAGACACCAGACACTGCTGTCCTCCACCTCCAGACACCAGATGGCTCCCTCTCTTTGCCTTTCCCCCTCCAGACGATTCGGACCCCTCCCCACGTGGGCCAGCCCCCTCCCCTCTGCCTGACCTGGCCAGACACCCCAGATACTCAGGATCCATTTCTCATTCATCTGGGCTCTGCCCTTCTTTTGGGTGGTCATCGGCAACCATCCCTCCACTCCTCCGCCCACCTTTCTGTCCCTCCCTCCTTCCCTGCCCTCCCCCCTCCATCCGCCCAGCCCTCTGTCCCTCACAAGCATCCCTGCTGAGGACAGGTGGCTGCCTGCCTTCTGCCCCCACCCCCCAGGAGGCGCCTCCCGGGCCCGCCCCCGCCTCCCCACCGGCCCCCGCCGCTAGATGGCCTCCTCACTCTGCCTTCAGTCTCTGGCTCAGGCAGTTTGGGGAATCCTGCAGACTAGACTGGGAGGCCCCTGGAAGGGGTCTAGCCAACTTGGCCCATCCCCCTCCTCACCCCCCTCAGTGTCTGTGACCCCTTCATTTCCCCCTCCTCGGGTCGGTACCCATGAGCCCTGCACCTGGAGCTCGGGCCTCCCCAGGAAGCCCCCACCTGCCACCCTTCTCCCGGGCTCCCACTACCTGGGGTAGGGCTGTAATCTTAAATTTCCTCTTCTCGTACCCCTTGCCCTTTGCTGTCCCTTCCCCAAAGGACTTCTGCTCAGTCTCTTTCCACTGCATCTCACAGTTCCCATTTCTGATGTTGCCCCAGCTTTGACCAAGTGAATTTCTGTCGCTCCAGCCAGGGCCTCCCTCTGAGCTTTGGAGGGATGCAGCCTTCCAGCTCTGCTCTCCTAACTCCATGGCCCTTGCCCAGTCCCCAGACCTGGGAGATCTGAGTCTCCAGCTTCCTGGCCCAGGAAGGGCCCCATGGCTCCTGACTAGAGTCCACACGCAGGGGACACAGCAGCTCTCCTGTCTGTGCCGAGACCGCCCGGCAGGAGCCTGGACCCGCGCCGGCCTCCCTCCGTGGCCCCATCACACAGTAGCCCCCAGCAGGCCAGCAGTGGCCGTGGTGGGAGCCGCGGGGAGGGAGTCCACCCACACCTGTGAGACCGGCACGAGGGGCTGGCCGGGCGCCGGTTGCCACGGGGGCTGGTGCCTGCCGTGCGGCATTTCTCAGCAGAGTGGAGCGGGGCAGACAGAGGGCACTGCAAGGGGACAGGCTGGGCGCCCCCAGCCACGCTCCGCGCCGTGCCCGGGGTGGGGCCTGGCGACCCCTGGCTTTAGTCAGTCTCTGGAGCAGGGGTGCAGGGGACATCCCCAGGCCCCTTCCGTCCCTGCAGCCTGTGACCGCAGCCCCGCTCCCGGCCAGTTTCGCTCAGCAGGCTGCGGAGCACCAGTGTGCCCGCGGTCTGCCCGCCCCGAGGGGGACGTGCGTGTACGCAGGAGTGGGGGCCTTCCTGCGGACCTTCCTCCGTCTCACGAGCCCCTGGGCGGCGGTGAGCAGGCCCCTCCCCCAGGACTCGCACAGCCCGTGTCGCACTTGCTCACACGGCACGCCCTGACCTGCGGGCTCGTGCAGGAGGACGCCGACACCCCAAAAGGCTGCACACCCAGCTGCTGAGACAGAAAGCCACGTGGCATCCAGAGAACGTGTGAAGGCCGGCACACTCAGGCTGAAATGTGCTTCTTCCCAGGTCTCAATGAGGCCTCAGGCACGAGTGGTCCTTCCGGTTTCAGAGTGGTTTCATGGCCACTACCCGGGAGCCCCAGCCCACCGGCGTGAGTGGGACTGGAGGTGCCCAGGAAGTCAGGGGTCCCTCACCGGCCTGGGCCCGGTGGTTCTGGTCCCAACTCTGGGGCGCTCTCCCCTGTCCCAGAGCTATCTTGGACCCCTACCACGAGGCGGTCATTCCTTAGATCTCTAGACCTCAAGACACCGATGCCCCTGGAAAAGTGAATCCAGTGAACGCTCGCTGCAAGCTAGGGTCGCCTCGGGAACCTTCCATAGCAAAAGGTAAACCCAGCGCACACTGGCTGGCTGCACCCTGCACCGTCCAGAGCTCCTGCTTTGCTGACTTCCCTGATGGGATTCCAGAAACCCCTGGAGGTGGGAGCCAGGGGAGGAGGCCTGGATGTGGAGGGTCCCCATCCTCAGGACACCCCGTCCTCCTGGAGTGCCTTTCATGTCTGCACCCCTCCTGTCCCCCTGTCTCCGCAACCCCTGGTGAGCAGCTACAGAGCTTCCCACGCCCGGGGCCGAAGAGTGGCTTGTAGAGAGTTTCTGATTCTTTCTAGAGAACGGGTGTGGGGGATGGTGACGGGTGAGTGTGTGTGAGTGTGTACATGTGAGTGCAAGAGTGTGCACGTGAGAGTGTGCACGAG